AAAATAAATAAATAAAATCTTAAAAAAAAAAACTCTCAAAATACAGCAATGAAAGAGAACAGAACATCCAAGTGCACACAAAACACTCAAGAGAACACTGCGTTTTAGGAAATCGGAATGTGGGGACACCCGGGTGGCTCAGTCGGTCGCACATCGACTCTCGATTTCAGCTCATGTCATGATCTTGGGTTCCTGAGATCGAGCTCCACCTTGGGCTTCGGGCTAAGTGTGAAGTCAGCTTGAGATTCTCTCTCCCTCTGCCCCTTCCCCCACTAGCCATTAGCGTGTGCTGTCGCTCTCTCAAATAAAAAAATAAATCTTAAAAAAGAAAAAAGAAAAGAAAGGAAATGGGAGATCTCTCAAAGGAGCTTCTTGGATTCAGGGGCCCCAAGGCCCTAGAAACCGAAAGTGGGCGTCAAACCGGAAGTGCGGCAGGAGACTGGATGCAAAGGATGAGGTCCAGACTCTCCAGGCCCCACTACAACCGGAACTTGTGGCCCAGCTCCACATGCCAAGAGCGCAGGCGCACCTCCTAACTCAACCAATCAAGACGGAGTGAGGCGGGCATTCCTACGTAAATGGGGCACTCAAACAGGAAGTGTGGCAGTTTACCTACAGAACTGCAAGCGGCGTCATGGCGGCCTACGAGCAGGTTCAAAAGGGGCCCCTGAAACTAAAAGGCGTTGCAGAGCTCGGCGTCACCAAGCGGTGAGTCCCCGAGAGCACCGCAAAAGCTTGTCTTCTGCCCCCTTAAGCCTCTTCTAGAGTCCCCGAGCTCTTGCTCCCTGATCCGCTCTCATCTTCTCTCCCCGTTTCTCCTCTCTCAGGAAGAAGAAAAAGAAGGACAAAGACAAGGCGAAACTCCTGGAAGCGATGGGAACGAGCAAAAAGAACGAGGAGGAGAAGCGGCGCGGCCTGGACAAGCGAACCCCGGCCCAGGCGGCCTTCGAGAAGATGCAGGAGAAGCGGGTAAGGCGGGATGCCCCGCGCAGCAGGTCTGGGTCTCCGGAGGTGGAGGGAGAGGCAGGGCCGGACGACTCGAAATTGGGGTCAGCCTCGGGCCTCTCGGAGGGGTGGTGAGTGGTCAGAGAGACCTTGATTCCGGGAAGATGCTACGTGGGTGAGGAAGAGTCCACGGTTGGGGGAGCTCCCAGGGCGGGAAGCGCTTCTGGTCAGAGTGGATGGCAGAGAAAGTTAGAGCTGGCGTTGAAAGGCCAGAACTGGAGATCGGATTTGGATTCCACCGCAGTGTCTCATTTGCCCAGTGAGAGGACTAATGACTCATCTTTCTGCCTCAGTTTACTTATCTGTAGGGATCAGGATAGTGCTGTCTCCTGAAAGGGATGGGAACTTTAGATGAAGTCATTCAGATAAAGCATTTGGCACTCGGTATGGCAAAAAATCAGTGCTCAGTTGATGTTAGCTGTTGATATTAAGTGGTGATGCTCCGGGCTATAAGTTTCCACAAAGTCTGTGTCCATGATGACTTTGTTTGACAGATTCAAATAGGTTGTGTTTGTATCCTACGTCCGCTCCCACGACGACATTTGGCAGTGGTTGAGGACATTTCTGTTTGTTAAAACTTCAGGGTGTGCTGGTGGGGGTGGGGAGTAGTGGGATGAGGCCAGGGATGCTGCTCTACATCCTACAGTCATCAAGACAGCACCCCCCACAGCAAAAATGATCTGGCCCAAAATGTCAGGTGTTGTCCAGGCTGAGAAGCCCTAACCCTGATCTGGGTGATTTGGTCCAGTAACATCAGGAAGAGTTAACTCATCATTCTCAGGCTTAATTGAGTCATTTAAAAAAAAAAAAATGGTGAGACTCCGAGGCTTTGACAAGACCGACCTGGGTTCCATTCTGCCTCTACCTCTTCTTGGTGGTGGTGTAACTCTGGGCAGGTTGGTTAACCTCCCACACCTTATTTTCTTCACCTGTAAAGTGGGGCTGAAGTCCTTACCTAACAGGTTTGTGGCGAGAATTTAACACTTAAGTTCCTTCCCTGAGGCTATGGTCCCAGGCTGGGCTGGGATGTTACTCCTGGAGTGAAAGTGGGGTGGGGGAGAGTCCCATCAGGTGACTAATAACAGTGGCTCAGAATAGGACAGTAATAGTGGAAGCAGTGGAAGGTATCAGGTTTGGGATTGATTCTGGAGCAAGAACAGCAGGATTAGTTGATGGATTGGGTGTGGACTGGGAAATGAGGAATGACCAAGATTTTTGATGGGAGATATTGGGAAAATGAAGGTTCTATTTACTGCAGTAGGTAGGACAGCAGGTAAAGCGGGCTTCTAAAGCAGGGCATCAAGACCTTGGCTTTATCCTATATGCTGGCTAACTGAACATTAAAAAAAAAAAAAAAGACCTTGGTTTTAGAGAACACTTGAATGTTTGAACAGCTGTTAGAAATTCAAATGGAGAATTCTTGTGAACAGTTTGAGATCTGAATCCGCAGTTTGGAGGAGCGGTCTGGGCCTCTCCTGCAAACATTCTGGCGTTGCTGTGGGACTGGATGAGATCCTCTGAGGAGGCACAGTGACAGAGATGAGGTCCAGGATCTGAAATTGCAAAGGATCACGGGAAGGAGGAAAACCAGGAGAGTGTGCCCTTAGGAGCTGAGTGGAGAAAGTGTTTTAAGAAGGAGGAAGGGATTGACGGTGTCATGCTGCCAAGGGTCTTGTGGGGTGAGTACTGAGAGCCCTTAGTTGGCATTTGGAATGAGGAGGAAGAGTGGCTGATTAGAGGGGATCCAAGGGAGGGCGGGGAAGGGCAGAGACAAGATGCAGAAATAACTCTTGGGAGATCTATCAAGACGAACAGAAATGAACCTGTAGCTGGAGGGTGGTGGAAGGTCAAGGGGAATTTTTTGTTGTTGGCATTGAAAACTGGAAGTACTGCTGTGGGTTTTGTTTTGAACCAGGAGAGAGACAGGAGAAAGCGTGGGCAAAGGTAGGTAGAATTGGGAAATGTGGATTCCCTTCTGGAAGGGTGTTTGATTGAGCATAGTGAGCACGAAGGCTGGACAGTTCTTGGAAGAAGGGCCCGTGGGGCAGGGCCCCAGCCTGAAGGGTTAGGGCTTGGCATCTCCAGCCCCATCACCCACTGTGCAGGCTGGTCCTCATGTTCTCGATCTGTGAAGTGGGGGTGGCGACAGCACCCAAGACACCCTGTGAACTTGGTACATGAAGTGGGGCGAGGAAAGGCAGAGCCCTACTGAGTGCCTGGCTTTGGTGGCAGCTGGTCAGGTCAGTGTGGCCTCTTGTGAGGAGGCACAGGCCTCACGGGGGCTCACAGCATCAGGAAGAGAGGCGGGGGCGGGGGGCAACTGGATGCAGAGGAAGACGGGGCAGCAAATGAGATGAAGGACAGGGAGGAGCAGCCAGGTGGGGGCCAACAGGGTCCTATCCTGAGGGTTGGCTCGGCTCACCTGGATAGTTCTCCTGCTTGCCTCACTTGGAATCTGTGCAGTCAGATGGCAGCTGGGGTTGGAGGCCCAACTGGGCTAGAACATCCAAGATAGCTTCACCGTCACATGTCTGATGCCTTGTTGCTCCTCCCATGGCCTCTCTCCCCATGTGTCATCTTATCCTCCAGGTCCTTTCTTTCCAGTAAGGTCATCAGACTTCTTGCATGGTGGCTGGCTTCCACGAACACAAAGCCAAAGGCTGCCGGGTCTGACGGCTTCAGCCCAGCACTGGCACCGCATTCTGTTAAGTGAACTGAGTCACGGGGCCAGCCCAGAGTCATTGTGGCAGAGAACTGCACCAGGGCACCAGTACCAGGCAGTGTGGGTCACGGGGTGGGGTGGGGGGCGCCACAGTCGGCTGTAGACACCCAGTCAGTAAACGCAGAGCCAAGTGCAGCCCCAGGTTTGTCTGGCTCTGCGTCCCGTGCTCTTTGCTCTTACGAGGTCCCATCCGGTGTTGGGAATGAGGAGTGGGGCAGGTCATGGTGGTGCAGGATACTCATCAGGGTGATCTGGATCTTGGAGCCCTCATGGCACCGTGTCACCAGCACCTACTCCCGTGAGCTCCTACCATGTGTTGGGCCCTTCACCTTCCTCATTTTTCGTCCTTCTTCAAACCGCATCTGAAACTTTCTTTTTCTGCAAAATGGGAATGCGGTCGGTTGCCCAGGGATGCAGGAAGCACACATACAGCTCCCAGCAGAGTCTATTCATGTCAGCGCTAGTTATTCCTTGCCACTCTGACCAGAGGGCAGCCAACCGGGGTCCCTGGTGGGACATGTTGGGGCCGGGCATCCCTGTCGGACTAGCCTGAGTAGAGTTAAGGGAGGGACAGGATGTACACCCTGAGACCTCCAGCTGTGCTAGGTGTGAGAGCCAAGCTGGTGGGGACTACCGTCTTCCACCCCATGCTGGCCTGGGCTGTGTCAAGAGTGTGAACTCACCTCCCATGTCTATCCTTTCTCCAGCAAATGGAAAGGATCCTGAAGAAAGCATCCAAAACCCACAAGCAGAGAGTGGAGGTAAGTCACATGCCCAGTGGGGAAGACCAGGCTATGTAGGGCCCCAGCTGGGCCCAGAGGCTAGGAGCCTGGCAGAGGGAGCCCTTGGAGTGTTGGGGTGGGGGTTGGGATACCCAACAGAAGCGACACCTCCCCAGGGTCATTTAAGGATGAACCCAGGGTTCAAGGCTGGGTGGCTTTGAGAGGAGGGGGCTTACTGAGGAGAGGCAGAATGTGGAGAAGTGGGAGTGGGCAGTGCCACACAATCCCAGTGCCCTGTCTGAGGCTGTACTGATGTGGGTTTTCTTCTCGGCTTTCCCAGGACTTCAACAGACACCTGGACACCCTCACGGAGCACTATGACATTCCCAAAGTCAGCTGGACAAAGTAGCCTCCCCACCCAGGGTATGGAGTGGCATCAAGGGGAAGTGGAAGGCAAAGTTGGGGTTATGTTTCGTGCCTTTGGTATTTTCTAGAAACATTCTTTTACACACACCCTTGCGTCTTCTGCTGAGACGAGTGCTTTCCAAAGCAGTGTGCCCTCTTTCTGGAACTTGATTAAAGTAAGACTGTCCTTTTACTCTATTTTGGTTTGTCGGTAGCATAGAAGATAAACCTTTTTAGGCTGGACTGGAAATTTTTACAAGTTTATCCAGAGATTAAGTTATTTCTGTGTGTCACAGAAAAGTGTCTTTACCCCCCAAGTTGCATCTAACTCTGATAGTCAGCCAGCTCTCTTTCCCTGGGTGAAACAGACTCCAGAAGATAAGGAGTTAATGCCCCCACGGGGCCCTGCGTGAGCTGTCCTCCCAGGCTCCCTCTAGCATGGGGCTTAGGCTGTGCCTTCCGAGCCTAGGGAAGCCACTTGAACCTTCATAGCCTTCGGAATGCCTCTCCAGCCACCCTGGTGTTTGAGACAATGCAGCCTGGAAAGCGGGACAACCGCCTAAGGCAAGGATGGAATGCACTCCTTGTCCCTGCCTGAGCCTGCGGTCGGCATGCAGCCTCTTCCCCTAGTGTCCCTATTCCAGACATGTCTAGAGGGTGTTGCCATGGCAGACGTCGTTACTCAAGCAGGGCATCCCTTTGTAATGGAACCCTGACACAGCCTGCCTCACTACCCTCAACCCTAGGCTCTGAGCACCTCCTGGGTTTATTCAGAGTTGGCACATAACATGTAGCCCGCTTGGCCTTTCTGGCCTAAGGACACCTCAGGGGTGACAATACCTGGGCAGAGCCCCAGCACAGACAGTGCAGTCAAAGGGGAGGACCCAGGTCCTGGTGCTGGAGAGCCATAATCTCTGAGGACCTACGTGTACCTACTTGCTGAGGATCGAACTGCATATACTATTGGGAGGAAGACTCTGTTGACCCTAGGTAGTGACAGAATAGCAAAGTCAAAAGAGAAAAACCAAGTGTTGGGTTCGGGGCTGTCACCTGTGAACAGAATAAAGCAAAAAATGGTTATGAGACAGAAGTCTGAGTGTCTTAAATTATAAGCGGTTTGATTATCACTAGAAACACTGCTTTTTGGATTTATTGCACATGTAGAATGCACATACTGCAAAGTGACCATTTACCCTCAACCTGGAAGAAATGAGGTGACATGTTTTTCCACCTGTGGCTTGCAACCCACCTGTGAGGTAATATACTGTCAGTAGTAGTCGCTCCTTGGGCCAGAGTCCCTAGAGTTCTCCACAGCCTAGCCAAAAGGCACGTGGAGGCCTTTTCCATCCATGAGTCAGCCGCTGGGGTTTGTGAGCATGGCGGGGTGCTGTGAGAAGCCATTGTCGGGATCCTGGAAGATAGATACTCCATCTCCCTGCCTGCCCAGTCTAAAGCCGGATGACTTAAAACAGCAGGATTTCTCTTCGGTGGGTCCACTGCTGGGCTGGATGGCTCTATGCCATGTGGTGTAGTTCACCTGTGTGGCTCTCTTAACTTGCCTGGGGCCAGAACGGCTAAGATGGCAGTTACTCCTTCTTCAGAATCTCTGTGTAGTCTATTCCATTGGCCACCACAAGTCACATTGCCAAACCCAGTCAGGGAGAGAACTCCACGGGCGCGGACACCAGGAGACATGGTTGATTCAGGCCATCGCTGTTAGTCTACCACAACGTTTCTCGAACTCTCGTAGATGTTAGACTCTTCTGGGAGCATTAAGAACCACCAATGCTGCCTGGGGTGGGGTTCAGTCCCTGAGATTTTCCAGAGCTCCTCAGATGACCCTAACAGGCAGCAAAGTTTGAGAAACCCTGGTCTACTGCAATGGGTCTGGTCTTTTCTGAGATGGTGCAGAGGTCAAATCTGGCTTCTACATTAAGTGTAAATGCCAAGGACGGTGACTTGAACCCCCCCCCCCCAGCTCAACAAATGGAGAATGGAGTAATTTATGTAAACAGTGTTTACTGTGATGGTGCTCTTGGCACTTGGGTGTCTTGTTTCTTCAAAAGACTTTTGTCCAATCTGTTCCTCCCAGCCCTGCCCCCCCATACTGGTTTTAAACATCTAAACATTGCCTAGAGCAAGCCTGAAAGGAAATGCTCCATAATGAGAGGGGTCACCTCTTCTGGGTGGTTTTTCTTTTTCTCTTACACTTTTTGGCATTTCCGTGGGTTTTTTTTTTTTTCCTGTGAAGTGTGTAATTTTGTAATTTTCAAAAGACGTGTTTTCCTAAAACATTGAAATATTTTGGGCAAACTATGAGGCTAGGTATAATAGGGTATTGTACAAGACAATTGTCAAAAACTCTCTCCCAGACGTTTTGTGAAAGAATGCTTCCAGCCCAGGATTTACTTGTCTTTAAATACTCCAGTTTTCTCCTCCAGATTTCCTTGCACTTCATCTCTATCCTAAGCCGAGGATATATTGCAAAAGCCCAAAGGAGATAGAAGGGAAGATCAAAAGTCAGAGGCAGGCAGCCTGAGTAAAATGGCCTTGATGCTGCAGGGTTGGGGTCCTCAGAGCACTATGATGGTTCACGAGGACAAAATGCAGGCATATCTCCACGGCCTGAGTGTTCATAAAAGTGAGATACTCGATTGGTCAGGGGTCACAATGTGTATCACCCACTGGGGTCACTACCTACAGAAATGAGAGAAGTGTTTTCACCTAGGTTCGGTGGGGCGTGGTTTTCAGATCATAAATAGGCACTGACGAATGTTGACACTGACACTGACAGGTAACAAGTAGTGACTTGTTGGTAAGGCTTGAGTGCCATTCCGAGAGTTTGGCCTCTTTCCAAGTAACCACCACCTTCCATTCCCCTATAAAGCGTGTAATAATTAGTGACTATATTTGTTCCTGGAACCCCCACCAGACTATGAGTTTCCTGGGACTGGGCCCAAGGTGGGTTCTACCACCGGTATGTCACCTCACTTAGCCCACGGAGGCCGGGCGGGGGTTTCCAACCGCCCTGGCCTCCTCGCCCGGCCGGGCACCTGGAGAGTGCCCGGCGTCAGCCGGCCCCGCCCCTCCGGGCCTTACTTCCGGATGCTTGAGGCAGGAGCGGGAAATAAGGTCACATCGGGCGTACTGCGCCTGCGCGCACTCCGCCTCGCGCCTGCGCCTTTCTGGCAGCCCCCCCCCTCCCCGACCGGACATAACGGTCGCGCGCGGCTCCCCGGACCGGAAGTGGAGGCGAACTGTCGCGGGACGCGCCCGGCCTTGCTCAACGCCCGGCAGTCCCCGCCGTCGCCGCCGCCCTCGGCAGGTGCCGAGGCTTCCCGCAGCCGTCATGTCCGCCAGCGCCGTCTACGTGCTGGACCTAAAGGGCAAGGTACATATGGGTCCCCACCCTCCCCGTTGCCAGGCAGCCAGTGGGGCCTCGCCCCCTGGGGGGGGACCCACCCTGTTGCTAAGTAACCCGCCAATGGGACCCACCCTAGTCTTAGGGAGGCTGGTCGGCCTCACCTCAGGGCCCCACCCTGTTGCTAGGTAACCTGGCGGGGGCTTCGATCCGGGAGCCCCGCCCTGTTGCTAGGCAACACAGCTGCACGGCTCCCCTCCCACTGTGGGTCGGGTGCTCAAGCCTCCGTGGGGGCATCGGGGAACCCGAGGCAGCGGGGAGCGCGGGCCGCAGCCGGTTTCGAAGCCAGAACTGGCGCTCAGGGGCTGTGCGACCCTTGGCCAGAGGTGGTGAGGCGTGTCAGGGACAGTGTGCCCTCGGGCCAGTCCCGCCCTCTTTATCCGGCGATTTCTCTTTGCCAGTCCCCGCGTGAATTCCAGGATTAAGTGAAGCGGGTGGTGGGAGGGCCATTTTACAGAGGGAGAAACTGAGGCACAGAGAGGCGCGCAACCTGCCCAAGGTCACACCAGCCACAGAATGGCAGGTCTAGGAGTCAGCTGATATTTGGGGAGCACCCGTACGGGGTGCTTAGGCTTGGGCTGCCTTTGGTGAGCAAAATCGGAGTCCTTCTGGAGCTCACAGTCTGGTGGGAGAAAGGGGCACTGATCTCAGAAAGCACACATCGATGTCAGTTGCCATGATGAAGCAGTGAGAATGTAATGGGAGACTATGCCTGGGCTGGGGGTCAGGGAGGGCTTCCGGGAGGGAGTGACAAATCTGGCTGAGACCTGAAGGAAGAGTTGCACATGACTAGGACCCAGGTGCCATTCCCAGGGGACTTTGGGAAAACTTCTTAAAGGAGGGATTTCAAAGCCTTTCCAGGTGGGCTGCTGCCTTCCCCCAAGTCTGTCCTGGCTAGAAGGCAAGTGAGTATTGGCCTCTTGCATCTGGAAGAACAGGAACAATACCAACAATGCTAAACAAGTCCCGCATGGATCACTGGAAGAGAGGTGGGCCTCGGGCCCAGCGGGGGCAGGCAGGAGTTAGCTCAGAAGCAGTGGGGAGTGAAGAGGTGAAGTGGCTATCCCTTCCTGCCCCCCTCCCAGAGTACCCCGCTCTAGCACTTTCCGAGAGTCCCTTGAGTGGGTCGCCTGCCCTGGATGCCACCCAAAGTCAACAGCTAGTGAGGTCCAGTGCTGGACTCCCTTCCCCAGCCCTCAGGCAAGGGAAGACACAGGGCACACCAGGGGCCAGGTGGGTGCAGTGTTCCCAGAGTCCTTGTAGCATGTGTTCTTCCTTCCACGCTGGCCACTGTGTCCCGAGTTCCCAAAGGCTGCCTTATCTCAGATCTCTCATTCCTTCAGCAAACATTTCATGAGCACCTAGCATGCACCAAGCCCAGTGCCTACTCTTATCGTGACTACGCAGTTAGGGCTGAGTTCAAAACCCATCTCTGCTGCTCAGCTGTGTGACCTGAGGCAAGTACCTTCTCTTCTCTGAACCTTGTTCCTCACTGCTCACACAAGCTGGTTATGGTGTTATTGTGCAAACTCTCTGAGCAGATGTTTGAGACAGGCTAGCACCACCTATGGCCCACAGTCCTTGTTAATCCTGTCTAGGGCCTCGGGCTCTAGCAGGGGAGACACACGGAAGCCGATGGATCCAAATGGTCAGATCTAGGTAGCTTGTAAGGGCATGGACACAGCCCCGGGTAGTATAAATGCCAACCTCAATTTTGGTTGCAGGAGAGGTAGTTACAGAAGGCTTCCTGGAGGAGGGAGGTGCCAGAGCTGGGACCAGGTGACAGTCAGGTGGACAAGGAGGCATCGCAGTTGGCCTGAGGGGTCAGGGGCAGCCTGCTGGGGCTGGTGGGCCAGAAAACCCGGGTAACACTGGAGCCTGGAGGATGGCACCAGCAGGGCCATGGATGGTTGAGGATGTCCAGATGGGAATGAGGAACAGAGGGGACCAGTCTGATCCCGAGAAGGAGGAGCCACCAGAGGAAATTGTAGCCTGGGAAGAGCATGACCAGACCTGCCTTTCAGGAAGCTCCCAGGGCAGTCATGGACTTGCCTCCCATCCTCAGCAACGATCATGCTATTTATTACTCCATTCCCCATGGACCTCAGGTTTTAAAAGACCTTTTGTGCAGACTATATTTAATAAAAAGTAAGGTAATGGCACATTAAGAAATTCATGACCCCACGTCTGTCTGCCAGCCAGAACCTCTGATCACCAAAAAAACCAGCCACATTTAGCTGCTAGAAAGCCCTCATGGACACTTCTTTGCCCTTATCTTTCTTGTTTCTCTGCAGCTTCTAACACCACTACCATACTCCTCAGTGGGCTCCCATTGGCCTCCAAGTTGCTACTCCCTCTTGTTTTGCCCATTTCTGTCACCGTCTCCTGGCCACTTCCCTTGGATGTTGACTCCTCCTGCTTAGGCCTAGGAGTCCCACCCTCACTGTCACTCTCCTTGGGCAGCCTTTGACTCACGTCCGTGTGCCAGTGACTCAAGTTTGTACCGCAGTCCGGAGTACTTATCTGGAGATCCACTGTTCTCTGGGATACCTCGGAGGTCCCACAGCCACCACAAACCTGGCATTTCCCAAAAGGAACTTGCTGCCACCCCAGACCTACTCTCTCCCCATCTCAGTGAGTGACACCACCGTCCATGGGACTGCC